CCCCCCCCCCCGAGAGGACAGCCATGCTACAATCCATTCTTCTCCATACTCTTCTTGGGATTTGGGGCATGCACACACACGCACCCAGCATGAGTTTCAGGCTGCCAGGTCTGGGACTCAAACCACGATCAAACACATGAGAATCCAGTGCCCTAACCACTACACCACCTGCTGGCCTCTTCTTACAGAGGCACTTGTCATGCATTTAGGGGCCTAGTCCAGGATGACCTTATCTCCAGATCCTTAACTGAAGTCCATCTGCAAAGACCCTTTATCCAAGTAAGGTCACACTGAGCCCAGAGGGTTGGGACCTGATATCTGTGGGGGCTTATCATGGTACTCTCCACAGGTGTCTTACCTGAAGAGACCCCAGCCTCAGCAGGAGCAGGTGTACTACTCCTGCTGCAGTCAGTGTGTGTGTTGGGGGAGCGGGGGGTAGTGGGTTGAGTGGCACCCCCAAAAAGATCCATCTCCATCCTAATCCCCAGAGCCTGTGAGTGTGCCCTTACCTGGAAACAGGGTCTTTGCAGATGGATCTCGAGATGAGATCGTCCCAGACTAGGGCCCTAAGTGCAAGAATATATTATTGGATGGCATTACAGAAGATCTAAACAAATGGAAAGACATCCCATGTTCATAGATCTACAGGCTTAATACTGTTAAGATGGCAGTACTGTCAAAATTGATGCACGAATTCAATGTAATTCCTATAAAAATCCTAGCTGACTTTTTTTTTTTACAGAAATTGACAAACTGATCCTAAAATTCATATGGAAATTCAGGAAACCCAAAATAGCCAAAACGATTTTGAAAAAGAAGAACAAAGTTGGAGGACTTATGTTTCCTGGTTTCAAAACTTAGCATAGAGCTAGATCTTTTCGATTCCAGACATCCTGGTGGGTGTAAAGCGGCATCTCGTTGATTTTGTGGCATTTTGATTTGTAGCGTTGTATTTGTAAGGACTGCTTCTCGACTGGGCTAGGTGTTGCTCACTCCCCTTCTCTCTTCCTGTAAGAGTACATGTGCCTAGCTACCCGCCGAATTGTCCATTTGCTACTGGGCTTGGTCTTGGCCCCTCTGGAGAAGGTGTGGGAAGGAGATGAGTTTAATTTTGGCAGGTGAAGTTTGAGGGGCAAATGTCTCCTTTGGGGTTGTCCCTAAGGAGAAGGGTCTGGACAGCCATGAGAGGGACTGAAGTCACCCAAAAAGAGGGTGGTGGGTGAAAGAAGAGTGGTGAGCCCCTTCTGAAAGCTTTCCACCCCGAGACTTGCCTGGGGTTTGCTCCTGGGATCCAGCTTCAAGAGGACTCCAGTGTCCTTGTCTGTGCCATTCATTTTCAAAGATCCCCTTGGAAGAAGTCCCTGTGAGTTGCCCTGCATGCTGGCCATTGCCCGCCACTAGGGGGCAGAGTTGTCTACACCAAGAGCCACCCAGCTGAAGTGCATGCATATGCGTGCGTGGGGGGGGGTGTGTGCAGGTGTGTGTGTGTGTGTGTGTGCGCACGCATGGCGGGGGTGCACACGCCATGGAGCAGTGTGCTGACTCACAGGAACACAGCACACTCACACACACCCATGGGGCTGCAGGGAGCCCCTCTGCTGGAAACTGGTACA